GGCTGGAGCTGCCCAGCAGGGTCTGGGCTGCAGGGGGGAGCCCGGGGATGCTTTGCTGCTGCAGCATCTCCTGCCTCCGCAGGTCAGAGCTGCCCCAGCCCGGGGAGCAGCAGCTCCCACGGGCCCTGCTGCAGCTGGACACAGTGAACTGGGCTGTGCTGGGAGCTGGAGGCTCCCCTGGGACAGAGGGGAAGGCCTGAGCCGAGCTCAGCAGCACAAGAGCAGGAGGCAGCAATGGCAGAGCCCTGGCTCCTCTCCTGACCCTTTCCAGGCTTTGCACAGCAGGGCAAGAGAGATTTGAGGCTCATTTGCTCCACTTGTGTTGTCCTCTCTGGGCCAACACATCTGGGGGGCACAGGGAGGGTTGGAGGGGTCCCAGGCAGCCCCCATCACCAAAGCCATGTTATTAACTCAAGGACACGTTGGAGGAGCTGGGAGGGGAGCCCAGCTCTGGGCCCAGAGCACGTCCATGGGAAGGGGCACAAGGTGAATGAGGCTTTGCCCCCCATGGCTGGGTCTGGGGGAAGTTAATCTGGAAAGCACAGCAAGATGGAGACATCTCCCCTGACCACAGAGCCACAGGTAGCAGGAGAGGGGGGAAAAAATGTCCTCCTTTCATAATGAAGTACTTTATGTGGGCAGAAGATCTGTGGAGGGCAGAGGCAGCACACACACCCAGCACACCCTCTACCCAAACACTTGGAGTGACAGGCCTGTGATGAACGAGATCTGTCTTGCCTGTGTTCCCACGAAATGAAAGCACATTTTTGGGCAGCACTGGGACTACACCCAGGCTGGAAGCCCCTACATTCCATCTCTCCATATCCTTCATCCAGTCCTTCCCCAGCCCCTTCAAACAATTTACTACTTGTCATGCATCACACCTCAAATTAGTTTGCCAAGTCTATAATACAGGCACAGGATATGAATTAGCTTCTCTGTTCACTCTGCCATGAGCAAATGGGGAAAAAAAAGAAAGAAAGAAAGACCCTGCCATATTCTAGGCTCCCTAAATATGGGCTTTGAGAAGGTGAAGAACAGACTGTCTGCAAGGCAAGGAGGCTGAAAAAAACATCCCCAGTTTTGCAGCTTTGGCAACGAAGGTGGCAATGGAAGGGTTAAAAGGAAAGCATGAACTGGAAGTGAAAGAATGCAGGCAAGCACTGCACAGCTGGCACCCACAGGCCCAGCCAGTCAGTTGGAAAGAGGCAATTACCACAAGGGCTGCAAAAACTTGTCAGGATTATTCAGAATCAATTAAGTGCCTGTTAACCACAAGCTCCTCAAGGGCTTTCATTCTCCTCCAGGCTGAGCAGAGGTGTAAATCTGGGCAGGTCCCAAGGGCAGGAGAGGAAGTCAACCCAGCAGGTGGGTTCTCACTGCTCCAGGGGAGCACGAGGTAACTGTGCTTGACTTCTTCATCATCTTCAAGTGTGGGATGGGTCAAGGGCTTGGAAACAGAAACTCCAGGTGATGCGTGGAGTTCTGGTGAGAAAGGAGACACCCATTTTCTTATAGAATCATAGAGTTGTTTTGGTTGGAGGACATCTTCAAGATCATCAAGTCCAACCATTAACCCAACTCTGCTCAGTCTGGTGCTAAACCATGTCCCTCAGCACCACATCTACTTGGGGTTTGAACACCTCCATGGATGGGGGATTCAGCCACCTCCCTGAGCAGCCTGTGCCAGTGTTTAATTACCTTTTCAGTGAAGAGGTTCCTTCTAATATCTGACTTAAAAATCCCCTGCAACAACTGGAGGCCATTTCCACTTTTTCTGTTGCTTTATACTAGGAAGAAGAGCCCAACCTCCCCTGGCTCCAACTTCTTCTCCAGCAGGTGCAGAGCCAGCAGGTCTCCCCTCAGCCTCCTTTGCCCCAGGCTGGACACCCCCAGCTCCCTCAGCTGCTTCACATCAGACTTGTGCTCCAGAACCTTCACCAGCTCTGTTGCCCTTCTCTGGACTCACTCCTTAACAAACCCCAGAGGGACTCATCCCACCTGTAGTCCTTGACCAAACCACATTCCTTGCTGGGATAATGCAGGACCCCACTTGCTGGAAAGACTTCAGAGAGCTAAAATACTGGGTCTGGAAGAGGAAAAACCCTGAGCAAAGCAGATGACATTGCCTACCACAACAGCCTCCCTCCAATACAAAGCAGCAGGAAGGAAAATTAAACCCATCCACCACCCTGTGGTCTAGAAAGTCCATTCCCACCCCCTGAGCTCCCAAAAGGTATCTCAGTCTTCCCTCACTGCCCAGCCCCAAAACAAAACTCAACAGGAAATGTTTTCATGGAGCCATCATGGAAATCATCATGTCTTTCTGCAGCAGGGAAAGTGAGCTGGGAGAGCCCATGGGCTGCAGGGCTTGACATGAGCCTCAGCTCTGCCATGGAGAAGACAAGGACAACTCTACCCAGCTGATATCACTGAAAGCAGAGCCCTTGCAGGGACCAACCTTTGCCAAGAAAAACCTGGTTCCTCAGTTTCCTGATTGAGCTGGAAGCTCTTGATCATGCCACAGTCCTACCAAGAAGGTAATTTTTTCTAGATCTTCTCTCCTCCCCATCTCACAGGTGCATTGGGAGGATAAGCACACACAGGAGCCAGATTCCAGGTTGTGATGCTCACTCAGAGCATCCCAGCAACTGCTCAATATCCCCCACCCAGCTCCCTGGCCAGCCAGTGGTCCAGCTCAGCCTCAGGCAGTGCAGGCAACCCCTGCCCTGCACACAAACCTCTAATACTCAGGGAAAACAAACCTCACCACCCCTGTGCCAAGGCCACACCCTGCTAAAGCCATAAGGGATTTCACAGGGTTTAAAGCAACTTTGCTGAACACTCAATCACATTTTAAAAAAAACCCAAAACAGATAAGGACAACCTGATGGGATAATTAAGGGATCTGCTGC